GTAGGCAACCTAAAAATTTAGGTGCAGTTTCAAGATCAAATTCGATCCTGAATTCCTCCTATGGTCATATATCGGGGAATTCTTCAAAATCCAAATTCAAATTTAAGAACTACGGTTGACTTGATTCCCTGTCGGATATGTAGGCAACCTAAAAATTTAGGTGCAGTTTCAAGATCAAATTCGATCCTGAATTCCTCCTATGGTCATATATCGGGGAATTCTTCAAAATCCAAATTCAAAACTTAAGAACTACAGTTGACTTGATTCCCTATCGGATACGTAGGCAACTTAAAAATTTAGGTGCAGTTTCAAGATCAAATTCGATCCTGAATTCCTCCTATGGTCATATATCGGGGAATTCTTCAAAATCCAAATTCAAAACTTAAGAACTACAGTTGACTTGATTCCCTATCGGATACGTAGGCAAACTAAAATTTAGGTGTAGTTTCAAAACCAAATTCAAACCTAAAAATCCTCATAAAGGAAAAAGTCAAAACAAAACTAAATCAAATTTCAAAGTGCGTAAATTCCTCATAAGGTCATACATCGAGGAATTATCCAAAATTCTCAAACCCAAAATTCAAGAACTGCGATTGACTTGATTCCCTATGGGATACGTAGGCAACCTAAAATTTAGGTGCAGTTTCAAGACCAAATTCAATTCTAAAATTCTCAAAGAAGAGAAAATCAATACAAAATCAAATCAAATTTCAAAGTGCGTTAATTTCTCATAAGGTCATACACCGAGGAATTATCCAAAATTCTCAAAACCAAATTTCGAACTACAAGTGGCTTGATCCCTTAACGGGGGATGTAGGCAACTCGACAAAATTCACTGAGTTCAGTCGCAATTTTAAATCAACCCAAATTTCCCAAATTCACAGAAAATAGAATTTACTGTTTTAATTAGAATCAAAAGGTCTTCCCTTGTACCAAGAGATCGTAATTAAGAGGTTATTCTTATAATCTTGGATGGGTCGAACTAAAAATAATAAACTCCTATGCTAATTAAATCCTAATATAGGTGAAATTATGTTGTGTGTGAAATATTATTTTAACAGTAATAAATATTTTCACTCAACACCCTCATTTTGTCTGCACAGGCATGTAGTCGTCGTCACCTCGCGAATCGTTTGCGGCCTTAGATAGTCAACGATCAAATCTCCAAGCTGCGATCACCCCCTTCTCTCTTCTCCCTTCCCACTGTCGATGGTCCCTTCGTCGTCAAGTTCCAGCAGCCGACCTCATTCCACTGTCGATGGTCCCTAGTCGTCGAGCCGATCTGATTGCAAGGTCCTTCCGTCGGAGATTGAAACTCTGCCACATCTCAGCCCATGACGTCACACAGCCATTCAATCTGCAGATATCAGACCTGCGCAACCATCTCTGTCGCAGTCGTCGCTCGAAGGAGATCCATTGAGATTTCCTCCACTACGACGGAGGCCTTTTTCCTGTCCTATTTTTTGATCTGATTTTGGTTTTTTTTTTTATAACTTTTTTTTATTTTGTAAGTGTTCCAGCGACAGGACGACTATTGTGCCACCAGTAAAGGCGGTTATCAATTGATATTGTGGTTGAATACAGGTCGGCATCACGACCGAATACTGGCAGCAAGGTGGATACTAATGGTTACTGTTGTGGGGTAAAACCTTAACCCTATATGAGGCAATGAATGCACGTAACGTGACGTAATTAAAGTATAAAATAATTGAGATAAAAAAGTATGAAATGATAGTAGAGTACACTTTATAGACGTCAATCCTTAACTATTAAATAACTCCGCTGAAGGGGTCGACTAGAGGAAAGGAAGATCACGACATGGAGACGAATGTTTCACTGGCCATGAGCGAAGACCGCTTCTAAAGAGTTGAAGGTGACGAACCCATCCATGTCCAAACTGAAGTGACAATTGTACATAGATTTGACGTGTATTAAATGCATGCAGAGTAAGTGGCGAAGCCGGTAGAGAAAATCAGACAGACTGACTGAAAACTTGGTGATTAGAGACTACTGTTCCAGAGTTTGGTGAAGATATCACGAGATTTGATTAAATAATTGGTAATTGACAGAGACAATATCATGTATATATACAGAGAGAATGACCTGAGAGGGATTCGGATTTTAGAACACCTTTATCTCTAGAATTTGTAATTTCTCCGAAGAATAGTAAAATTCTCTGAGTGGATGTAGCTCTATATTAAAGTGAACTACTATAATTCTCGATATTATTATTCTTCTTTCGAGTCTCAAAATCTCATCCCTAATCTCCTTACAAATCACTAAGAAATTTATTATTAACTTGATGACTAATTTTCACCATCAATAGTTACCGATCTTTAACCGGCCGGTATATTAGAGTATACTATCGGTTACTAGCCAGTGTCTCGATGGTTAATGATCAGTACTCGTTGTCTGACTGTCATCAGTTGATATCACGTTGGATACCGTATGTTATCTTAATGGTATATTTGGCATTCTAAAACAGTGTGATATGTCGCATGGCAATTTCTGCAATTAATTTTTTTTTGGACGTAAGTCAATCTAAGCTTCAAAATTGTGGCGGTTGTCTATAAAAGTCCCATGATTTTTGTCATCGCTTTCTCCCTTTACTTGTTAGATTAAGAGGTACAGAATTTTAAGACGTCACAGAAACTATCAAACTACACATACATGAATTAAGGGACACTTTCTATGAACTTTATACATGTGCTACCACGTAGGGGTGTTAAAAAAGAAAAAAAGAGAGAGAAAATTAGGAAATATGGCTCCTTTAATTTATTCTCTCAAAAATTTGCATTTCGTAAATTGATATATAACAAGAGAAAATTAGAGAGGTATTGTTTAATAAAAGACATAAATCTTTATGCCTCTGCAGTGAGCTGGATTTGTTTAATACAAAAGATTGAAAACTGATCAATTAAATTAAATTAAATTAGATGATTCTTATTTTTTTAATTGGTTTAGTTTTGATCAGTTTAAAATTATAAATTTTAAACTATCAACCCAACCATTACATATGATTTGATTTTGTTTGGTTTATACACTTCTCTTGAACATTTTAAACTGGCAGTTTAGTTCATGGTTTTTCTCTTACCAAACTGATCCTGAATGTGGCCATGTTTGTTTGAAATTGTCCGAGGGAGAAATATTTGTACTCGTGAGATATTTCATGTGTGCCGCTTCAAACATTCCTAAATGGCTAAACATCACGAAGAAGCTCTATGACACTCGATGCAGACTCAAAATTCCATTCACAAGTGGGCTAATCGATAATTATCGTCTTCTATTCCACAAACATTGGACGTGGTTATTCATGTTATAACTTGTAAACGACATGACATGTAAACAAAGAGAAAAAAAAAAAGAAAAAAAGAGAGATAAAAATATATTTATCATATTGAAAAAAAAAAACCCTACCAAGTACTGTTATTTTAGACGGAGGTTTCTTTTTCACTGATCTAATAAGCATATAAACTAGAATAGGACTACCAACAATAGTGACGGATTTGTCGGTGGTTAAAAAAATAATATGAATTAAATTTTTAATATTTAGTGGGAGATGTTGCAGTAACACTTATTTAACGTTTCTAGACTAATAATTTGGATTGAATAAGTAAATTATGTAAAGAAATTGGAAAAACACAAATAACCTCAGAAAAAGTAACAAGAACAAAGTGAAGACAATCACAAGGTAATTAATTATATTAAAAAATGAGTGCGTATCTTTTCCTCTCAAACGAAGAGAATTTATAGTACATGAGGAATTAGGGGTTTAGTTCCTTTTATCAATGCGAGAGTTTATTCTCTCTTCAATACAATAAGGCTCTTTACCTTTTTTAAGTGCTATAAACAGTTAATAAACGAATTAAACTTGAGTCATTAAATGTTTTTCATTGTCAACTGTTACTTGACATTAAAGCTTGATAACTCTTGATCTTCCAACTACGCTCGAATGGTTTTTCTAACGTACGCTCGAGTAGTTTCTCTAGTATACGCTCGGGTGTTATCCGAACATACATTTTATTATCTCCGAAAAATCCATCCAACTGGAGATATGTATATATTGGTATAATAAATTTCACAATTATATATATATATATTATAAAAAATAAGTTCAACAGAAACAACGACGCTTGATCCAAAGTTATAATAATATTGGCATGGACCTTCGTAGTCGACAACATAATTATAACTCTACGTCTCATGTTGCCAAAATCTCAAAACTACCAAGCTTGTAGTTCCAGCAAAGTTTAGCCTTCGTTGGCGTGAACCCAGCAACCAAATAACTCAGATTCAAAGTTAAGAAACCACTTTTTGTGATTCAGTAGAATTAAATTCGAATCATGGCATTCTATTCTCTGAAACTCTCTCTCTCTCTCTCTCTCTCTGGCTTTATTCATATGCATCAAGTTACAAAAAACCTCTGAACTTGTCATATATGGAAAGAAAATTTAAAATAACGTACATGTTAATTAGCTTGATTTGAACATCTGTACATTCATGGGGCCGGTAAAAATTGGGCTTTACAAAAATAAAACCTCTCTCGTTTTCCTCAATTCTGCTCTGATCTCAATTCTCAATGCAAAAGCACGACACTTTGAGTGACCTTTAAGGCTACATGTAGGAGAGAGAAGTTAGCAAAAAATCAAAGAAAAGTAGACCAACAAATTGATAGAAATAAGTGTCAATGTAGCTTGCAAAGCTGAAGAAGAAAAAACCCTTGACGAGTCTCCAGTCACAAAATTTGGTAACCATGAACTGTTATATCCAAATGGGAAATCCCCCGTCCCCGTTGTAGACGACCCTTCTGTTGCAGAGTCACTCCCGCTTGTTGTGCTTGATGTACTTGTTGGAGACGTATCTCTTGCTGATTTTTGACTGTAAAAAATGAACAAAAAAATAAAAATAAAAATGATATTGATATGTGAAAATCGATTCCATTTTAGAAATAATAACATCTTATTATATATATATATATATTTTTTTTTTTTTTTTTTCACGCAATAATCATATATTGCTGGCGATGTCCTTTCTGTAACCCATAAGTTAATAACAAGGAGCTGTTTGCTCGTGGACCACAAAAGGCAGAAGTAGGATTGAAATTGTATGAAAGCAAAACGGAATATTGAAAAAAGAAGGCAACACTAATGGATTCATTATCTAGAATAATAGGAAAATGCAAAACATTAACACCAATAATAAGCGAAAGATGGAATCAGAAATTAACAAATTAAAACTAAAGCATCATCATAAATAAATTAACATTCTTACCTTGTGGAGGAAGGGCAGAATGTTATCGTGTAATCAGCCCCACTGCACGTAAACGTACTGGTGGGATCATCATAAGCATAGCTATACGACTTTGGGCAGGCGGCTTTGAACATCTCCGAGTAAACTGTCGGCTTACACGCCCCCGGCGATCCGTACTCTCCGCTGCAGCAGTACTCGGGCCTCCCGAATGCCTCGCACGCGCTCCTACACGCTTCGCCGTTCCCGACCCTCAGCTCGGGCGGGCACTGCTGGTTCAGGTCGGTGACGCAGCCGGTTGAGAGGCACGCGCCGGAGCCGCGACTGGCGTCGACCAGCACTGGGAGGTTGTAACCGTCGACAAGGCTGACGTCGTAGAAATCCAGGCCGCCCAGGCGGATAGTGAACTCGGCGAGTGTGGCCGGAGGGCTGGCGCCGGCGCCGTTGCACTCGACCTGTTTGGAGCCGCAGTCGCCGCTGGCGCAGCTGCCCTGGCCTGTGGCAGGGTCGAATGTGCAGCCGGTTCGGCCCCAGAACCGGCCCGACCAGTTGGGCGGCGACTGGAAGCTTCGAGAACCACCCGGCGGGAGTTCGAAGCCGGTGCTGTCTAATCTGGCGCTGTCCGCATTGGATAGAATCCCCGGCCATACTGTGTGGCTACATTTGTTTATCACCGTGAATGTAGCCGCTGATGTGCCTGTACAAACTCCAGCCAAAAAAAGATCATCAATATGAGCTGAAATTATGTCATTATTTACGTGAGCATTAATGTTAACAATAATAATATAATGTAATAATGTAATGTGAAACTGTATTAATATGCATGAAAATGTCAATACCTTTGCAGATAATAAGAAAAATGAGAGTGATGATAAAGTATGAAGACTGCGAGAAATTAGTGAGATCCATAATGTTGGGTGTGTTCAAGTGAGCCAATGATATTGGATGGGGTTTATGGAATCAAGAGATGGCAGTGAGGGAAGAGAATTATTCAATGGAGAGAAAAATGAATGAGATTTTGCACACATACAAATTTTTGCGAGTACTTATGATGAGAAATGGGAAATATGATCGGAGATGATCACTTGATGGGGAGAAATAAATGAGTCTCTCTGTGTCTGGCTAGGCTGGTTTGCATCTCTGCGTATATATGAGCTTTATATGTGTTGAGAATATATA